GCAGAACCACTGAGCTAAATCCCCAGCCCAAGAGGATGTCATATTTTGTCAAAGGCTTTTTTTGCATCTCTTGAGATCATATGATTTTCATCCTTGATTATATTTATATGGTATATTACATTTATTGATTTATTTATATCAAACCACCCTTGCACCCACAAGATGAAACCATCTTGGTCATGGTGTCATATAATTCTGTGTTCAAGAATCTTATTGAGGATTTTTAGCATTCTATATGCATCAACGATTTTTGTTTGTAGTTTTCTTTTTTGGTTGAGTCTTTACCTGGTTTTGGTATCTGGGTAGTGGTGATTTCACAGAATGTATCTGGAAGCATTACTTAAGAGACTTTCAACTGAACTTTTTTTTTGTTTTGTTTTTTTGAGGCAGGGTCTAACTGCGTAGTTGAGACTGACCTGGAACTCACTATGTAGCCCAGGCTGGTCTTGAACTCACAGCAATTCTCTTGCCTTAGCCTCCTGAGTGCTGTGATTACAGGCATGCGCCACCACGCCCGGCCTCAACTGAACTTTTTATTTGACTTATTGAAGTTTTCACTTCCAGGATTTCTGCTTGATTCTTTTTTTGGAATCTGTTTACTGAAGTATATTTTCATATCGTGCATTGTATTCCTTAATTCATACAGCTGCTAATTTGTCTCTTCTTTGCGCTCATTGATCGTTTTAGTAATTGATTCATCTGCTTGCCTCTTTGCTCTCACTGACCATTTTAAACTATCAATTTTTTAAAATTCCTCTCTAGTATATCTTTCACTTCAGTTTCTGTTGGATCAGCTTTTGGGGAATTTTGGAGTTTTCTTCTTGCCTTATTTTTTGTGATGAATAGCACGATTTGTATGGAAATCTCTACTACTGTTGTATGGAGCTCTTTTAGTAAGTGGCTTTCTTCCTATGATATGCTCTTGTCTGTGGGTATGATTCAGCATAATAGTACCCTCTCAGCCTATTCAAAGTATTATGTTAAATCCATAGCACTACATTGCAAGGAAAGGACTACCAGTAATATCAAAATCCATAAAATCAGTCATGTATCAACATGTAACTTAAAACTTGCTTTAAATATTTTCTATTGTTTCATTAGCACAGGAAAATAAAGGAATACTAATAATGTAGGTTAGGCTAGGGGAAAACAGGGAAAAGTAAATACAATAGTGAGAAGACAGGTTTTAGTTATAATATTACTCTATGTACTGAGTTCATGGTTGCACAACATTGAAGAATGAAGTCATGAGCCAAAGGAGGAGGTTAGGAGAGTTTTTTGGGGGGAAATAAGAAGCATAGTTCCTGCTTCTTATTTCAGGAGAGGTTTTGAGTGGAGCCACATGGCCCCTCTATCCTGAACTGCTTGTAGATAAGCAGAGCACAAGAATCACCCAATGGTTTAGTGGCCCTTATTGCAGATGATTCTGTGAACTGAGAGTGACCAATTCTAACACAAGCTCTTTAACCCAGTTTATTAACATGTAGGGTTTAAAGCAAACTGGGAATTTAAAGAAACAAAGTTGGTTAATTTGCATTTTAAATTTCTCAGGACTTTGGAGGTTAGTAGGAAGTGGCTGCATTCCATGTTGCCTGAAGAAGTTTACCCTTGGTCCAAAGTCTTAGTTTTCTGTCTAATTTAATTCTTATCAGTATCACTGGTCACTCCACCTGTATCTCAAGCCCTTCCCCTAGCTACCTGCTTTATTCAAAAGCTAGCTAAAAAAGCTATTCTTTTTTTTTTTTTTTTTTTTTTTT